TTTTCTTAATTACTTTGTTGGTTAGTTTGTTGCTGGTATATAGAAATGCTACCTTTTTTGTATTCAGATTTTGTAATCTGAAACTTCACTGAATTTATCATTTCTAAGAGATTTTTGGTGGAGTTTTAAGGATGTGTGTGTGCGCACCCATATCAACAGCAAACTGATAATTTAACTCCTTTTTTTTTTAATATTGATGCCTTCTATTATCTAATTACTCTGGCTTGTACTGCTAGTACTATGTTGAATAGATGTGGTGAGCGTCAACATCTATGTGTAGATATATTTCTTCTATACCTATTTTTTATCATGAACAAATGTTGAATTTTGTCAAGAGCTTTTTCTGCATCTGTTGAGAAAATCATGTATTTTTTTGGTATTTATTCTGTCAGTACAGTATATCACATTTATTGATTTATGTATGTTAAATTATCCTCGAGTTCCTAGGATAAATCTCATTTGATCATGATAAATGATCTTTTTAATGTGCTATGGAATTCAGTTTGTAGTTTTGTTGAGGATTTTTTTTCATCCTCAGTGAAAATGAGGATTTTCTCCTCTTCAATTTTTGGGAGGAGTTTGAGATGGGTTGGTATTAGTTCTTTAAATGTTTGGTCGAATTCAGCAGTGAAGCCGTCCAGTCACAGGCTGTTCTTTAAAGGAGAGATTTTTTTTTTAACTTATTTTATCTCTTTACTTATTATTGTTCTGTTTAGATTTTCTGTACCTTCCTGACTCAATATTGGTGGGCATGTTTCTAGAAATTCATCCATTTCTTCATGGCTATACAATTTGGTGGGGTATGCTTCTTCATAGTAACCTCTTGTATTCCTTTGTATTTCTGTGGTGTCAGTTGTAATGTCTCCTCTTTTTTGTTTTTTTGTTTTTGTGTATTTAGGCTCTCTAGTGGTATGTGCGTATATATTTACAATTGTTATAATTTCTTGAGAATTGATCCCTTTTGTTATTATATAATGATTTTTTTCTCTTTTTATAGTTTTTGACTTACAGCCTCTTTTGTCTGATATAAGTATGGATGCCGCTGCTTTCTTTTGCTTTCCATTTGCGTGCAATATCTTTTTGCATTCCTTCACTTTCAGTCATTGTGTTTCCTGAGTGTGAATTGTAAACATCCACTGTGTGGATCACTGGTACTTACTTGACCAAGCATTTCCCTAACATTAGACAGATTATTTTCAGTTTTTACTTTTATAAATAATGACACAAAATATGCCAAAAATTATTTTATTATTTCCTTAAGCTATATTTCTAGACTTTAAAGTATTTAAATAAAATGATATGATATTTTATTGCCTTAATCCAGTACCACAACATGACTTTTTTTTTTAAAGAGAGAGAGAGAATTTTTAATATTTATTTTTTAGTTTTTGGCAGATACAACATCTTTGTTTGTATGTGGTGCTGAGGATCGAACCTGAGCCCCACGCATGCCAGGCGAGTGCACTACCACTTGAGCCACATCCCCAGCCCACAACATGACATTTTTATACCAAACAACTCCTTTATTACAGTTAGCAGTATCTACATGGACTATAGAAATAGTAAAATTTGAATTTCCTCATTTTAGTCTGTAACTATAACTTCTCTCCCTGTGGTAGTTTAGGCAGCAGTTTTCTCCATATTCTAAGTGTAGTGGTAACATTTTATGCATAATTTTTTACTATTAGAAAATCCTTTCATTTTAATTTTTAAGTCATTTCAAAAGTATTCTCAGGAATTTAAAAGATGTTTCTTTCCTTCATTCTTTTACTTAAATGTTTTTCAACTCTGAATCAATTCTGCTTTAAACCTTTCATAGTTGGTTTGATACTTAAGCAAATCTCAGAACCTCTGCATTGTTTTAGGAAATCAAAAGCATGAATTAACCTTGCAAGAGATGTTATGTCCAAGGTAATCATTGTAATGAGACTTCTATGTTTCAAGAGTGGACAGAGATGAAGAATTAAACTTAAATGATGCATAGGCTTTGCACAATAAAAGGTGAAGCCATTTTCTGGGTAGCTTATCCTTTAAAAAAGGAGTCAAGATTAGCTTTATACACATAGCTTCTGTGTGTAGTTATTCCTTGCTGCAATAGTTTTATACCTCGTGTTTCTCTAGGTTCAGACTGATTTCATCCACAAGATCTTAGCACAGGCATCCCAGTAACTGTGTCACTCATTACTAATGTGGCAAGCAATATCTCTTAAATAATTCACTACCAGAGTGTTCAAATTATAGAATCATTGGCAGTTAAAGAAATAAGAGCTATTAAACTTGTCTATCCAATATTGTTTTCAAAGATTGTGGAAATTGGGAATGGAGATAAAACAGGAAGATAAACGGCCTTTAAAAACCTCCCAAGTAGGGTTGGGGGTATAACTCATTAGTAAAGTACTGGCCCAGCATGCACAAGGCCCTGGGTTCAATCCCTAACACTGGAAAAAAACCTCAGTTATTTAGTTTGTTCTTTATCAAAAATTCTGAACAAGCTTTTTCTAAAGTTAAGTACATTGAAATTAATAGAAGCAAGAAAAATGTTTAAAAGTTTTTGCCAAGTGTTTGGTTGCCCTGTGAAATGAAGAAGCTACATGAGTAATATATTTGTTTATTATTTTATTGAATTCCATGCAAGATACATACAGTACAGGGCACTGGGAATACAAATGCAAAGACAAATAAAAGATAATACATGATTTCTTTTTCTAGAGAATATCTAACTGAAAGACAATAAATATATGTAATAAATAATTACAGCATGGTTAAAGAAGTGTCCTGAAGGAGTCCTATACCAGATATCACAAAGAATAGTATCTCCTTCAGTCTAAAGAAATATTTCAGAAATGAAAATTTGATATTAGTTTATAACTCCAGGCTAGTCCTTTGTGGTGATATAAAAATAAGTTTCTATAATGTGGAAAAAGAAAAAAACTTATTTTTATCATTACCAATCTCTGAAACCTCAAGATAGGAAAATCCCTCTGCTGATATATTTGAAGACAAGTAGCATATTTGTGCAGAAAAGTCTTTTTCCATTATTTATTTTTTTCTACTCTTAGTATCCTTCACAATGCTATCTTTTATATATAAAGTCCTTTTGGTTTAATTCTAAAGAGTTCCCTTTAAATTAAGAAGTCCATTAATGTTTGTGTCACTTTTCAGTAAATGAATTATTCCTTTCTTTGTTTCCCTGAGCCCCCAAACCATGCTGACAAAGTAGTCTTTATTCACGGATAAAACCTGAACTGGTTCTATCAGTTCACCTCCTCTTTTCTCCTTCAGCATTTTCATATGTATATTCGTTACTGTTTCTGCCCGCTGCCTGGGTATATATATATAGCTCCATAAGGGTCATATTAAAAGTATTTCTGGTTTTTTTCTTTCTAGAACAAATGTGACATTTTCTTCATTTCCCTGATTCTGAACTGAGGAGGGCAAAATGTCAAAAATAATAAGACAAATAGATCTGAACACAGAACCAGCCTGAAACAGTGCTCACTTTGCCTTTACAATTAATATTAGGAGGCAATGAGGAGGAGCTCCTTGGTGGCCCCAAAATGAAGAGAAGTCTGAAGCAGCTGTTAGGGAATTAAGATAAAGTCCCACACAAAGGTATCACTCAACTATTCATGTATTTATGCACACAACATTGTTCAGAATGCCAGGTACTTTGATGCAAAGAAAAATAAGTCATGGTCCTAACATTTGGGGAATATTGTTTGGAAGACAGACATATAAACTAACTCTTGATGTTTCTATTTCTAACATAAGAATTATTATTCTTTCAAGAAATACTCTTCCATCTTCCTGTTATATTCCAGATTCTCTTTTAGGTGCTGAAAATAATACAGTGACCAGAACAAGTGAAATGTCTCCTTTTATAGAACATATATTCCAATTAGAGATGATGGAGGTGGGGAATGAATGGATGCAGACAGTAAACAAATAGTAAACAGATATTATGTCAGTTGACAATAAGAGCTATGGAGAAAAACTAAGCAGAAAAAAAGGTCCAGGACTTCCAAACTCCTCATTGATGAGGTGATATTGAGCAGAGATCTAAATAAGTAAAGAACACTATTTAATAACCATCCCCAATATTTATTGAGCATTTACTACATGTCAGGTACTCTAAGTGCTTCACATCACTTAATGTATTAATTCTTAAGAAATTATGTATGAACACTTACTATCCCCTTTTTACACAACTATACAAGGTTTATAACTTAATTCTGAAGATCTATCTCATGCACTAAGACACTAATTCACTCTACACTAGAGTACAGTTAAAACTCTAATTCAGAGTGGAGTCATTTGAACATGTGGTAGACTTTTTAAACACAGCCTGTTTTAATATTTTTAAACACATACCCTATCTTAAGTAAGACCACTAATATATTACTTAGTAGACATCTACAAGGAATTTGCTTTCATAAATTCATTAGGATGGTTTCCATTACCATATTGTTTAAATAGATTTATTCAAAAAGGATGGGCATTAGAGGAGACTGTTTATTCTCACAAATTTTTAAATAGTTATTTTTTAATTCTTTTCATTATTTGCTTATAATATGAAATTTTCACTCAAATCTGAATTATCATAAATGAAAATTTAAATGAAATTTTATCATGATAGTTACAGTCTAAAGGAAAAATTCAGTGATCAAATATGAAAACAGCTTGAATAAACTCTTAGAAGGGCCTTCATTACAAACAATAATGAACCTTTAGCTTTCAACTCTTCCATGAATTGATAAAGGACATTTTGATGTGTATGTATGTGTGTTATATGATGTACCAATAATACTTAATATATAGAACATTCAAAATGTCTTCTGTCCTACTAATGGATCCACAGGTGCCTCACCAACTATTCCATTGAATGTTTTAATTAAAACTCTCCTCTCTATTAGAGAAGGGTTCTTAATCAAAGGACCAATCCTCCCTGTATAGGATACTGTGATTTCAGTAAACATGCATAAATTTCTTTCTTTTTTCAGGTACCCCAATTATGAATTTATTAGTGATAACTCTATTTCTTGGTCAGCTGGACTGCACAATCGATATACAGAAAATTCACTTCGGGGTGTGATCCTGGATATACATTTTCTCTCCCAGGCAGACTTCCTAGTGTGTACTTTTTCATCCCAGGTAGGTGGCAGTAAGACATGATTAAATGACCAAAAACTTTTTCATCATTATCGTGTTCAGGACAATTATTGTTTATGTGTCTGTGTTTTTAATGTTAGTTATTATGACTCAGGTACAGTTATCCTTATATTTAGTAATGATATGTTTTGTGAAAGAATGAAGAGATTCTACAAAATAGCTATTTGAGGACTTTGAATATTTAGTTGTTTGCAAGCAATGCTTGAATACATCTCCCCTGGAAGTACCTGCCTTGTTTATAGCATGTAACACAAACAGCAAGTAATTAAGCTTACTTAATACTTTCTGATTTTGTATACTTTCAATATATAACTAGAATCTATCCATGTCAACTCATCAGTGCACTGATACTAAGAGGCTTAAGTGCTCAGCATTTTGTCTCATTATATTGTATTATATTTGTCTCATTATGTCTCTTTATAGAAAAGAAGAAAGAGTAAATGTAGTTTCTTTTCAGATCCTATTACATTTCTACTTAGCAAGAAACTATACATTAAATTTAAGAAATATAATATCATAATCATTCTTTCAGTTTAATTGTTTAATATGATTATAGGTTTTGAGTTTGGTGTGTGTGTTTTTGTGAGTGGTCCAATCAGCCTTATATACCCTGTGGAATATAAATATAACAATATTTATTGGTGTTTTTATTTTATTTTATTCTCCTTTCTCATTATACACATATTTTTGGTTAGTTCTTTTAACCAGCTGTTAAATGACTGTTTGTGCTCATAGTTATATTAGGTGCAGAGAGGATTTCAAAGGAGATGGAAGATATAGTCTCATCCTCATTCAGAATCAAAATATTCACATGAATCAACTAAGAATAATTACTTAAAAATATAAATTAGTATAAGATAAATACATGTTTAAATGCTGAAAAAGTGTGAAAAAATAAAAATGACATTTCCATGGAAATATATTTCAGAGGGAATAAAGAAATGACAAGTTTTTTTTTTATTACATAAGAGTGCACATTGTCACAGTGGGATGGTGATATGATTTTTTGGAAAAAATACTTAAACAAGCAAAGGTTAAAGGTTTCTTCAGTATGAAATAAGAATACAACTGCTATTGTTTTGTGAATAGCTATGCAAAATAGGAGTCATATAGCAACAGTCCTTATCAGAAAGAAAACTTACTTTTGTCTTCAAGTTCCTATGAAGGCACCCACTGTTGATATTTCTCCCTAATGGTGGGGGAGGGTCTGTCTTGAAGAAGCGCCCTGCCCTTTCTCATGGCAGGAGTCAGATGGGTGTATCTGTTTAGTCCCTCCCAACTGTTTTTGAGAATCCAGCTATGTATCTACCTGATACACAGGTTCCTGTAGCTAGTGAAGACCTCTACACACAATTGATACTTATTGTTAGAGTGAGTGAATCAAGAGTCACTTTCCCAGTTGTACCACTTTTCCTGAAGGTCTAGATTTTAGGCCTGCCTGAAGTCTGTTCTTCTAGTCCTGGGTTTCTCAACCTAGGCACTACTGGCACTGGGAGCTAGTTAATTCTTTGTTCTGAGGAGCTATACTGTGCATTGTAGGATATTTAACAGCAGCCTTGGTCGGTAGCATCCCTAACCTAAGTTCAACCAAAAATGTCTCTAGACATTACCAGATGTCCCCTAGGGACCAAAATTGCCTTGATTGAGAACCACTGTTCTAGACATAAAACTCAAATATATATGTCTGATTGTTTACCATCCTTATATGTTGACAGGCTCCAAGACTTACAGCTCAATGCTTTGCTTTCTTCCTTCTATCACTTCTTAGGAATACCGTTATGCTTATTCTGGAATGGAAAGAAGATTCTTTTTCTTTTTTTCTGTCTTCCCCCCTTAAATATCTGCTTTAGAATTTCTGGTTCTCATTACTGTACCTTTGAACCAGAAATCAGGATGTTGATGTCACTTCGTGATGATAGAATTTGTCTGGTCTTTAGGAGAAATTATACTGCTTTGCTCTACTTTATACATAATATCAACCTCATTGCATTCAGACTTTGAGTCCAGAAAAGCATTCATATGAAGAACTGGTGCTGAAAGAATTTTTTGTATCCAAAGGAATGAAATGTATATATATTACTCCAAAGAAACTCTTGACAGAGTTTGCCCCAAATAATTTCTGCACATTTGTTCAAAAGCAAAACTCAAACAATATTTTGTACCCCCAAATGGACTTGAATACCTCAAAATACTTTATTTTGGGTTCAGAATAAAAGTTTAACAGTGATGGTACCTTTTATTTATATGTCAAATGGCAAGTTGCCAAATGTGATCATTCCCATTATCACATAGCTTATTTGATGATTAACAGTTATAGCATTTAAAAATGTGGAATGATTGCAGATTCAATGATAAATCTCTGGACTTACTTGTACCTCAGTGTTTTATATTTTTTGTTTGTTTGGTTGATTGGTTAGTTTTTGTTTGGTTGTTTCCCCCCCCCCCCTTGATTCTTTGCAACTCAATGTTTCTTGCAGATATTTTTAAATATAGAGCTATTTAATACAATTCATTATTTTTGCAGTGATAACAAAATTGGTTACTGGATTTAGAAGTTCCCTCGCCATAAACTAAAATTGGAATTATTTGAAAAATGCCCCAGAAATGGCTCATCACCACCAATAGGTCATGAGAAAAAGTTACTGACTAGATCAAAATGCCAAGTCACTGACTTCACTGGACAGAGAACAAGAATAAGACAACATAGGTTCTGCAAGCAGACTCTCTGGATTTAAGTTCAGCTTTGATCACATAGTGGCTCAGCAGCCTTAAACAAATTACTTACCCTATCTCTAACTGTTGATATTAATAACAATAATAATAATAATAGATGGATAGAGTAGTAACTAGTTAAAACTTACTGAAAAGAGGACTGAAGTGTTATTGTATATAGCTAAAGTATTACTGCCAAATGCAGTGGCATACACCGATAATCCCAGCAACTTGGGAGGCTGAGCCAGGAGGATTGCAAGTTCAAGGCCTGAGCAATTTAAAAACCTTTCTCAAAATAAAAAATAATTAAAAGGGCTGGGGATATAGCTCAATGGTAGAATGCCTGTAGTTTCAACTCCCAGTACTACCCGCCCCCCAAAAAATGTTAATCACCAAGAAGTGTGTGTGTGTGTGTGTGTGTGTGTTTTGTAGGAATGCCTTTGCCTGTTAGACTCAATGGTATTGACTTTAGCAGATCTTTTATACATGGTTCTATTTTACACTATGTGCTCTCACATTTTAAAAGGAGCATGAAACATGTGGTCATGAATAATGCTTAGGCCCCACTCAGTTATCATATGGTAAGCAATTCTTTATGAAAAGAGTAACCAGTAACATTCAGCATATTAATTTCTATTTCCTATGTGCGGTCTTTTGAGAAATTTTATACTACATATCAGTGAGAAAGAATTGATCTTTTGACCATGAGCTTTTTGAAAACCTACAGGCTAAGTGTCACGGCATCTTAAGCAGGATTACTCACTCATAAGGTTTTAGATCCATCCCCCTCAGTTTCTGATCTTTCTGTTTTATCTCCTTAAGTGAGGTCTGGGAATTTTCTGTCTCCTTAAATGAAAAGTTTTAAAAATCCAACAATATGTCTCTACTCTCTAATTTTGTTACCATTTTTGCTCTTAGTTTCTGAATCATCCAAACTGTTTCTCAAAGACAAGTTTGTCCCCAAAACCTCATAAACTGAAGAGTACTGTCCTCAGGATTTAATATGATAATTAGAGGCAATATTAGCATCTAGTGAATTTTGAAAGCAGCATTGTCACATTCTAAACTATTCTACCAAGTGTGCTAATTTTGTTATGTTACTGGAAAATATCTATCCCCAAAGCATCTACTTTTCTTATTGATGAACCTATATTAAATCTGAAACAAATTATAATGGAGAAATAAGACTACTAGTTGTAGATAGGCAAAATTACTCTGGAATCTGATTCACCAAATGGTTTTGGATGTTCACTTTAAAGATTTTAACATTTTTAAAGCTAATGTTGTTTAATGAGCAGTGGATGCTGCTCAGTAGTTTCGGTCTTTGAGAATCACTAGAGGACAAGATTATTATTTTTCTTAAAAAAAGATTATTATTTTTCTCCTTTGACACTACAACTTGGCAGTTTTTACAGCACACTCATAGCCCTCTTTAATTTTAAATCCACACAAAACAGGCCTCATTATACATTGCATCAGATTTTGGAAGGCCCAGATGACAAAATCAAGAACTACATTAATTTTTTTCCAGATATTTGGTTCTGGATAGAAATTTCCATCAAGGTATAACTCATGAGACAATAGTAAATAACTGTTGAAAGTACCATGGAGCAACACAGGACAAAAGCCCACAATGTGAGCTCTGCACCTGCCTCCCAGAGCAGGAGACAAGAAGTACACCTTGCTTCATCCTGGACTGTAGCTTGCAGTGCTGAAAATGGTGCTAGATGGCCTTTATTGCATTGATTTTGGCCATTCCTGCAATGTAGGAAAGACCCTGGTCTTCCTCTATCTTTGCATAGCAAAACTAAGTAGTGCATAGGAAAAGTATACAGATCTCCCAGCATCACCCAGTGCTTTAAACAAAAAAAAAAAAAAAAAAAAAAACTTGTCCATTTTAACAAAAAATAGGGTCCCTTCTGCTCTGAGAAAGCTTTGAAGGCTCATGCAAACTTAGCTGGCTATTATTAAGGAACAAAATTCAGACTGACAGATTCCTGTCCCCTATTCTTGTTTGGTTTTTAAAATATAGTCATATCTGTATTTTATCCTTTGTCAGGATTTTTGCTGTTAGCCACTATTGTGTGCTTAGTGGTGTATTAATGCATTATACTAACATGTATAACTAATAAGAACAAATTTTTTTTAAAAAAAGAGTACACCTGAAAGAAAGGATGTCAGCAAGACTCCAAGGATTTTTATCTTGAGCAACAAGATGTTGAGAAGTGAAGAGAGGTCAGAAATGAGACTGAGAAGGGCAGCCAGTGAGGTGGGAGGAAAACCAGAGAATGTAGACCAGTGAAGTGTTTCAAGGAAGACATGATCAACTGTGAAATTAAGAATGCCCAGTTAATTTATTACAAACATCCCTCCCAGACCTAGACAACGTAGGCAGCAGCAGGCTAAGTGTTGAGTTACTAGTCTCAGCAGGGCACATAGAAGCTAACAGAGCGTATTGGCTACGGACTCTTAAGGACAGACTGTTTGAAGTTGAATCGTGGTCTTACCTCTTTGTACTTTTGAGCGATATGTGATCATAACCCCTCTATGCTTTGGTTTCTTCATCAGTAAAATGGGGATAATAACACTTGATTTTTCTTATTGCTGCATTTAGATATTAATATGGAAGGATTTTGAATACACCTGGCATAAAGGAAAAAAATGATATAGCATCATGTCAACCCAGAATGAATAAAACAACATGTAGCCAGGCATTGCTTTGCAAACCATAGACTGTTCTCTCTGTCATGCAACCTGGCATGTACCAAACCTGAGTGTTGGCATCAGCTGTAAGCTTTCATTTACCTGCCACATGATTAAGTTCATAAAGTCCAGAGAGGAAGTATAGAGGTGATTAAAGGCCAACATCAACACTATAGTAATCTTTCTATTGCTTTGCAGAAATTGCCCCATGATTGATATAGACAATCATTACTTACTCAGAATATTGTATGAGGACCTTATGGATGAAATATCACCCATGGATTTGCATCTCCATTACTGGAAAAATATTCAGAATAGCATGGAGAAATATTCACTCAGCAGATGTTTATTGAGTGTCTATTATGTGGCAGTCGCTCTTCTAAGTGCTTATTCAAAGGCAGTGTCTTGTGTGATTGAGAGCACTTATGCCAGAACCAGAAAGAATTCTAACTGTGGCTCTGGCTTTGCTAGCTCCTTTTGTATTTTTTGGAAAATTCCTTTCTGTGGCTTAGTTTTCTGTATCTATAAAATATGAATAAATAGTAGTTCCTCACACTTGGTTGTGAGAGTTCAGTGAGTTGGTGGAGGGATATACTGTCAGAACAGTGCTTGCAATCTAATTAGTGCTCATTAAGCTCAGCTGCTAACATTATGGCCATTATTATGAAGAAGATAAAGGACCTCCTTGTGTAGCTGCATTCAACTTGTTTTTGCAGAAATCTCTGTATCTGAAATTTGACCATTAATTATTTCTTTGGTTTAAGAAAACATGTGTACCCACCAAGATTAACACACTATTGATACCAAAACACAAATTAATTATTAGGATAATTGCCAAAAGAAAGCAACGAAAAGATGTGGAACAGAGAGGAAAAAATTTTATGAAAGTAAGACGTTGATGAGTGGAGAAGAGAAACCATGTAGGGTTTATTGCTGCAGTAGAGATTGTGGTCATCCTAAGAGTAATACAAGGTCCTGCATTTCTGATTAGAAACAACAGAAGAGTAGGTGAAGATAACTTTAAAGAAAGACACTCAGGTTTTTCCAAGGCTGTTCTTGATCTTACGTTATATCTTTTGGATGCTATGGTATAAACATGAAGAAAAAGATTTCCAAGAAAAAATACATATAGCAATTATAAGCATACACAAACTGCCCTGGTTCAAACCTGAATGTTCCACTTAATGGGTAGTGTGACCCAGAACAAATGCCTCAAGTTCCCTTATCTGTAAAATGAGTAAAATGATAGAATTATATGGGGATACTAAGAGAATTACATCAGATTATACTAACAGCAAAAGCTTAGTGTTAGCCTCTATGATATTATTGTAGTTAGCAGTTATTATAACTGCTTTGTTTTAATTACAGTTGTATGTCACTTAATGATGAGGATACATTCTGAGAAATGTCGTTAAGTGATTTTGTCACTGCAAACTTCATAGAGTATACTTATGTAAACTAAGATAATGTCAATTGTATGGTGTTGTGGGACCACTGAAATGTTGTTATGAAGCAAAAACTATAATTTCTCTGGTTAATGTATTTGGTTTCTTCCTTTCCATAGTTCCCACATAATTTTGCTTGCTCCATGCATGCCTTTGGCTGAATCTAAGTTTAAAAATTCCAAATCCAAATCCTTAATTTATTAGTCTTAGTATTCTACCATTTATCCCAATTCTATCATGACATTCCCAGTAAATAGTTTGTTAGTGAAATCAACTTGAATGCAAATTTTTAATTGTCTTGAATCTAATTGAAATTCTAGCACAAGAACTTGAACATATCACTTAAATTCCTTATATTTTAATATTTACAAAATTTAAAATATTTCTAACCTTAATCTTATTTGCAGCTTACATCTAGCATTTGAGAATTGCCCCTCTTGAAAGTTCTTAAAATTCAGATTCTTTGAAAAGTTGAAGTGATGATTAACCTAATCAGATTCCATTTGACCCTAACAGTTGTAAATAAATATCTCAGGCTAGGGTGTGACTCAGTGGGAGAGCATTTGCCTAACATATGTGAGACCCTTTGTTCAAGCTCTAATACTATCCCAAAATACAGCATCTCCTGTCAGTTTCTTGATCTTCATGAATGCCACAGTTTTAAAGACTACTGAGTAGTCCTAAAATTGTTCACTAAGCAGATTAATTATTATTATTATTAGTGCCATTTTAAATAAATGCAAAAGTATTGGTAATAGGGACAAAATAACTTAATTAACTGAGATGGCCATAGCTACAGATTTAAGAAAATTTGATGTAAGCTGAGTTCTCAATTTAACATGTATAAAGGAAAATAGTTCTCTCTTCTGTCATCACCTATTCTTAGAAAAGTTTCTGGAATCCATTTACTTTATCTGAGTCTATTAATTCCTTAAAATGTTATCCCTCTATAAAGATAGTTTAACGTCACAGTTATAGTTTAACTCTGTCACCAAGTATTAAGCTCAAGGAAGCTCAGAGTGTGGAATTTAATCTACATTCAGTGGACAATGAATATATTCTTTGGACAGAGGAGTCTTATAAGCAGCCTTAAAGCTACATTAGTCAGGCATCTTCCTCAAAGGCTAGCTCAGTTTATGTCATCCCAAGAATGCTATCATATAAACAACACACTTAAAACTCTATAGAACATAAATGGCAGATGTATTTTAGCTCACTTGAGAATGATTTGAAAAGTTGAAGTGATAATTAACCTATTACATGAAAATCTACTGAAAAGGGTTCCAAGACAAAGTTCTGAGCAGAGAAGTTTGTGGGATTGAAAACAGGGAATAAAGGCAAAAGAACAACAGTATTCATATTAAGTATTTGTAGTCCTAATCCTAAACCTTAAATTCTAGGCACAAACTCTAGGTTACTCATTTTGTTTATTTTTTTAATCAGTGCCCAGCCTATATAACTGTGTAACTCTTAATAAATGCTTATTAAAATTAACTGGTTCATATTTTTAAATTACTTTGCATGATATGTAGATAGCCCCCCCACCTTAATTGTAATAATCTTTTGTGTACATTCTTTAAAAAGATATAAGCCCAGAAATGAAGAATGACTTATACCATCATCTGATAGCAAATGGATTGAAACCTTTTGACTAAAAGCCACTACTTCTCAACCCTCTCAGTATTTGAGTTCATGTTTGGCCAAGGACTTTCAGTTTGTTATGAAAGAGAGATTTTATATACTGTACTAACAAACTTTTTTCCATTTCTTTCCAAGGTCTGTCGAGTTGCTTATGAAATCATGCAAACACTGCATCCTGATGCCTCTGCAAACTTCCATTCTTTAGATGACATCTACTATTTTGGGGGCCAGAATGCCCACAACCAGATTGCCATTTATCCTCACCAACCTCGAACTGAAGAAGAAATCCCCATGGAACCTGGAGATATCATTGGGGTGGCTGGAAATCATTGGGATGGCTATTCTAAAGGTGTCAACAGAAAACTGGGAAGAACAGGCCTCTATCCCTCCTACAAAGTCCGAGAGAAAATTGAAACCGTCAAATACCCCACATATCCTGAGGCTGAAAAATAAAGCTCAGGTGTAAGAGATGAACAACCAAACTCAGTTCAAACCATTTCAACCAAGCAGTAGATGAAGAAGGCCCTGACCTAACAACATTGGTTAAATGGTAGATACCATTGGCACCAAGAGCAACTAGGAACTGACAAATGCTTCATTGGTGGAATTCCTCTTTAACAAGGGCTGCAGTGCCCTCAAACCCATGCACAGTACAATAATGTACTCACATATAACATGCAAACAGATTGTTTTCTACTTTACCCCTTCTATAAATATTATGTCCCCATGAAACAAACACTGCCACATTGTGTAATTTAAGTGACACAGACATTTTATGTGAGACTTCAAACATGGTGCCTATATCTGAGAGACCTGTGTGACTTACCAAGAAGACCTGAATAGCTCCATACTGTGGAGAAGTTTATTCTTAGCCAGTGGTGGTGTTGTGACCACTGAATTCACTCCAATCAACAGATTCAGAATGAGAATGGATGTTTTTGTTTTGTTTTTTTTTCCTTTATAAGGTTGTCTGGATTTTTTTTTAAGTAATTGCATCAGTTCATCCAAGTCATCATTAATAAGTGAAGGATACATCAGAAATTAAATATTCACTCTCCATTAGGAACTTTTGTAAAACAATGCCATGAACAAATTCTTTAGTACGCAATGTCTCTGGACATTCTCTTTGATAACAAAAAATAAATTTTAAAAAAGAATTTTGTAACGTTTCTAGAATTTTGTATCACTGGGTGATGCGGTGATCAGCTTTATAATAGAAAACTATGTTTTTCAGCTTCTTTATTGTTTCTGATTCAATAATCAAATATTAACTAAAAGAGACATTGGTCCATTTTAATAATGAAAACTGATTTTAGTTGGTGCACATTACAATGGCTAAGAACATTCTTTAGGAGCTTTCTTTTGGACATTGTTGGTTTATTTTAATTGAATGAAATACTGATAATCTATGCTCCCAGAGGAAATAGTACCTCCATTTCTATAACTAACCATTTCAGGTTTGTTTGCTAATCTTTCTTAGTGTGGCTTTTGTCAGTTTCTGTGAATTGGGTCCTGTTTTTTTATCCAGAAACCAAATTATGCCCTTTCCTATAATGTCCTGCTTGTAGAAATATAAGGAGTCTTTGGATGGGAAGATGACTTTTTCTGAAATGTGTATCTCATAGTATGCAGAGTTAATTTGGTGAACAAAGGAGAAAGGGACTAGCATTAGACCCAAAATTTTCTCTTACAAATTATCTCTATCCTTTTAGTAATATTATGTTGGAATCACTTAAGAAGAACTTTTCTACTAATAAAAACACTCCCTATTTGTATGTAGCCTGCCTTCTACAGATCCTTGCAGGAGTGTTGCATAGCATATGTCCTACCTTCTAAAAGAAAAATGTGGTCCATGTAGTAACCATTATCAGGCCTGGTGTTAAGTATCATGTATTTCAGACAGAAAAGCTCAATTAGCTCTGACTTTTACAACCTTACTAAGTAAAAACACCTTCCTACCAAGTGTCCCTAAATTCTTTTCACCTCTTGAGTCAAGTCTTCCAAAATACAAAAAATAACTACTTATAGTGTCAGTGAGCAGTTTTCCATTTAGTTTTAGTACAAATAAAAATCACTTGAAACAAAATCTCTGAGCAGAGGTAATTTCAAATATTATTCTCCAATTTCCATCTCACATGAAATCAGAACGTCAGTAACTATGGGTCTGATTTATGCCTTTGTACAAAGGTAAATTGAACTCTTTTATCTAGATCTAGTTCCTCAGGTGAAGAACAGAAATATGAAGGAAATACATGAAGGAGTAGGTCTCACATGGAGGTAAAGACTAGTTTTAGATATCTTTCAGTAGAATTTATTTCCTCATTCCCCAACTGAAAGTCTTATTTATTTCTCAGGCTGGCCTTGAAATTGTGGTCCTCCTGCCTCAGTCTCCCACGTAGCTAGTTTTATACACATGAGCCACTATGCTTGGCTAGAAAGAATTTCCATTTAATTCTATTTCCTTGCTGAGATTTCTTCTTTTAATTCACTGCAAGCTTGCTTTCCTTTATTGAACATAGTGATAATTACTTTAAAATCTTTTTCTGATATAGTCAACATCTGAATAATCTCAGAATTAGTTCCATTATTTATTCTCTACAGAATGGGTCTGTTTTTTACTATTGTTTTCTTTGTGTCCTTCATATGTTGAGTAATTTTAAATTGAGCCCTGAATATTGTAAATGTTGGTATTATGGATTCTGTTATATTCCTCTGAAGAATGCTGATTTTCTTTTTTATGTTAGCAGGCATTAACTTTATTGGACTCAACTTGTAAACTGTGTCTTGAGCAGCAATTCAAATATCAATTCAGTTCTTTTATCTGTAACTGGAATCTGTCCTGCGCATAACTCAGAAGTCCACCAGAGATTTGAGTGGAATATATGCACAGAATTTAGGGCACTCCTTTCTCTTTGGTTCCCTTTCCTCTCACATTTTGCAGCAGCTGTACTTGCTCTGTTTCAATGGAAGACACCACAGAAAGAATGCAGTTTTCTCTCAGACCCAAAAGTATAAAAATGGGACACTCACCTTGTGCCATTCTTTCTTTGCATATTTCAGCCTCTCTCCAGAATTTGCCTGATTTTTTGTTCCATCTTCAGTATCTTCAAGTAGTTTTTCATATTGTTAAAAGTTTATAGTTGTTATCCATTAGAAGATTGGCTCAGTAGGCACTTACTTCACGTACAGGAAGTGAAACTCTGAGGAAGAGACTTAAAATGAAAAAAGAAAAAGGAGAGGGGAGGTTTAGTCCTGTGACAGCCTCTGTTTAGTAGCCTCCAGCAGGCAAAAAGTGTGAAGGGCTAAGTACTACTGCTGACCACTTACCTGCAAATCAAGTGTTGGTAATTTCTTCTATACACACTGCCATTTTGGAAAGGCTGACATTTCTTTCCCACCATTATATTTTCTCCATGAGGACCTGGTACTTAAGAAGCCTACATTAGGGATAGATTAGAAGGATTTGGATCTTTGTTATATAACCCATTTTTGGAAAAGACGAAGAACTACATTATTAGCCCAGGCTCATTGAATGTGGGTAACAGCATCCTATAGACTTTTCTAACTACAAAGCAGTTAGAAAAAGTCTTACTGAGGCTTTCTTGGTCCTTCCACTGGAGTCTGGTATAGTGCTGACCTGGGTACTGAACCAGCTAAGTCCAAGCCTGTTGTGAAAAGGCTCTCAGCCCCACTCCAGGATTTTATTGTGTTCCAAATGAATAAAACTAATTGCTTCCTTCTTTGAGCTTTAGTTTTTCCTGCTATTGCCAAGCTTATTTAGTATATTCCCTCTTACTAGAGTTAAGGAAATGATTAGCCCCAGCTTGTGAGGGAGTTGAAGTTTAGAGAAAAAGCATGTATAAAAAATGACCTCCCAGAATAATTATTATCATCACTTAATTCTGACAGAATATAATCACCGTATATTCAGTGGGGGGAGGGGGATATTGGGGTAAGTGGTGCATCTTAAGGAGTCTCTGCCTCATTGAAAGTAAATCTCTTACATAGCCATGGCCAACTGTCTGATATTTCATTTGTGGTCCCAGAGACTACAGTAGGGTCACTAGGACTATACATAGTAGTAGATGTGTGGCTTGGACATTGAGGAAATTGGGAACTTGGCTATAACACCTTAATTTATGCCAGATACAGACTAAGGAATTTTTTAAGTGCATTGCCCTGAGGGGAACACAAAGGACAACTGACTTCTATCCTTACTGTTTCATGGTAGCAGTCTCCCTCATGGAGGCAGAAGAGTTGATCCAGGACCCTTGGCAGGGAATAGGCAGGCCTTGGAAACTTCCCTGGTTTGAGCTGTCCTTTAGCATACTAAGTTGCTTCTCAGCTCAGGATAAGCCAGCCAAGCAGATATGCCCAAAAAATTGGGGCTGTCATTGATATTACACATATTTGAGCACTAGTCCTTTGTGGGTTAATTTTTTTGTTCTTTATACAGGTCAGAGTCTCTGGCTCAAGTACCTGCTGAGTTATTCAGCCTTGTCACCTCCAGTCCAGTTCAGTTGCCACCTGCTTTCTCCCCTTTTTATCCTTATGACTACCTTGGTTTTGTGTTCCTCCTACCTTTACGAGAATAATCTCATGTACATGGTTACCTTATACTATTTCATCCCCCTTGTAGTTCCTATCCTCATTCCTAACATAGGTGATAGTTTTGTCACTGGCATCTCTGTGATATTAAAGGGAACCAGACATTCCCTTAGAGACTTTTAGGTAAGATATTTGTAGACCTGAGTCATAATGAACCTAGGCACTGTGTAGTCATGTTTCCAAGGTTTTTAGATATTAATGTTACTACACTTGCAGGGAGCATGGCTAGGCCATCTTTTATATTAAATTGTGTCAATCTGGACAGACCCTGTGTTTTTTAAAAAGCAGTTTATTAACCATGACCATTCGGTGTTTTGGGAAGAGAGCCAGGAGAATTTGGAGCTCTGCCTGACTTCCTGCCATCAGTAACTGTTCTCTCTAACCTCTTCTCCCACATCAGTGTCCTGCAGAGGCTGTTGTTCCCTTACTGCCATTATGGGTAGAGAAAAGGCCATGAGCAAAAGAAAAACACAGAATGTTTGTCCATAGCTCAGCTGTGTGAGAGCATCTGTGGAGGCTGGGAATGTGCAGCAATTTGTGCAGAGGGCACAGAAACTTCAGACTGTGGGTGTGGTGAGGAGCCTGAGGAATGGTGGCACTTTGAGTTCCTGGCTAATGTTATGTACTCCGGAGTAGATCACAGCTGCTAAGAATTCCTGGCCCAGCAAAGCAAACAGAGAATAGTGTGTGTAACTGCAGAAGACCCAGCTCTCAGTTCTGTTTCCCTCATTGTAGTGGTGACACATAGGTTATGTCCCTGAATCTCAGATTCTCATAAGAAAAATCAGTAGTACTCACTGAAGGTGATTGAACTGGGAACCAGTCTTCTGATTTTGAATGTGCCATTAAATGTGGACAGACCAAACTGTTTTTCAGAACTTCACTTTTTTTTCACCTATGAAATGAATTTTTTTTTAATTGGTTGGTTTATTTCAGGGTTTGCAAGTTTGATGGTCTGATAGAGCTCTACATAACTAATAGGGGTAGCTGCTATTCATCCTCAACTGATTGTTGTCCTAAAGATAACATGTGGCCAGATCTTTATTTTTCCAAACAAGCAAAATCTGTTCTTTACGCAAGTCTTTAGAAACTATAGCAAATCATTCAAAAAATGTATAAAATATATAGAACAGTAAAGGGCCCAAATAACTGTGGCTACTTTGGGTCCATGGTGCATTAGTTTATAACCTGGACAAAATGAGAAGGTTATTTTCTAACTTTAAGATGATTGTTTCTTTAGGAAGGATTGGTGAGGTGGGTAACAGGGTAATAGTTGTACCATACTTCCAAGTTCAGTGTTGGAAGTACACAGTGTTGAAGTTCTGTTGCTGCACATGCCCCAATTTGGGGGGTATATCTGCTTGGCTGGCTTATCCTGAGCTGAGAAGCAACTTAGTATGCTAAAGGACAGTTCAAACCATGTGCCCCTCAGACTCGGCCTCATAACAGGGTAGATAACTTCCAAGTTCTTTTTCAGCCTAATTAACAAGCTGTTTAAACCCACCTGTTTATATTTGTAAATTCTTTTGTTTGCTTTCTTTTCCACATT